CGAAACCCGCTCATTCATCGGTTTGTAGTTTGGTTTCGGGTTAGATTTTTTACTCAACCCCGACCCGAAACCAAACCGAAATAATGTCAGTTGAAACCGACCCGACACCGAACCCGACATGAAACCAACTTTACAACCTGAAACCATACCAAACCGACCGAATGGACATCCCTAGCTGAGAAGAAGATTAAGGAATCTGGTGGTGCTGTTCTACTTAGTTTATTATTATCTTATGTTTAGAGATTTTGGTTATGTAAGCAAAAATATTAGTAGTCTTATTTGTTTTGGGTCACTTTTTATTTTTCGAGTTATTATGGATAATGGTACTTTGGTTTATTGGAAAAAAAAAAAATTGTTGAAAAAGGCCAAAACCAAAACTTTGAAACCAACGTGAATCAAACACGCAACCACTGATCTAAAGGCAGACGACGCGCTACCATTGCGCCGCAGATCCATTAATGAAATTGCTCAGTACTATAAAAATATATCTCTTACAATTTGAAGTAATATGTTATTGGAAGTTTTGATTCGGGTCGGGATATCTGTGGATAATTTGAGGAATCGGATTTACAAATATTCATAAAGACTATTTTTTTTGGATAAGTTGGAAACTTTATTTTTATTAATATCCAAAGGAAAGTACAAAAGATTTAGAGATGCAAGATGGAGTGATTGAGAGATTCACCCAAGACATACATAACTCTGAAAGAAACACAGGTGATATAACAAAAGAGTACAAAAATTAAGGCAATAGCAAGATGTCCCAATGCCTTAATAGATCACCAAAATTGTAATCCTTATACACTGCACTTCATAAAGACTATGCTATGGTTTCTAGCGTCGAAATCTCAGCAAAATGGGTTTTAACAACTCTATGGTTTTGGTGTGTGGAAAACTGGAAATTGGGCTGGCAGAAAAAGGTTTCGTTTTGGTGATTTGGCAAACAACTAGGAACAAGGTTTAGTTGTTTTGTCTCATAGAAAGTGCACCTTTTGTGCACTTTGCATGCCTTGTAAGTTGTAACATCTTCTTTACCAATAAAACTTGAATTATTTAAA